TAAAATTTTGGCAAAAGATCAATAAAATTCTATAGTTTTAAACCCCGAATAAGTGTAGAAAATACACTTATCAAGTATTGAACCCATATTGAATTCACTTATGCTTGCAATAATAACGCGAGTCATTGAATATGAAAACTTCGGCACAATTTTCACTTCAGTCTAGTAATAACAGAACGATAGTGGGAATGGCTTTTATGCCTTTCAAGGGGTATGGGTTTAGTTAGATTGTGGAGTAGTTGATTGTGTTTGTGAAATTTAAAAATTGAGCTTTGATTTAAACCTTCATCTCTTCAAATCTTAGGAAAAATAGGTTGCATTTAAGGTATTTGATAAAATGGCAAAGTAGAAAATTAGTGTATAATTAGGCCTAAACTAGTAATTGGGTTGATTGAGTTAAAAATATTGTGCTACATGTGGGAAATCTTTAACCTTCACTATTATTAAAAAAAACTCCATCAACACAGAGGCATGGACACACGGACAGTGTCTCCATGCTGGATGGAGACACAGAGATGTGTATCCATCCGTGGACGAGGCACACGGGCGCGAAGACACCCCTGTGTGCCTTCTTGCACGATTTTTTTTATTAATACAATGCTACTAATAATATTTTTTCCTTTTGTCTCCTAATGTAGGTTTCTTTCTTAGTCTTCTCTTTTTCCCTTCCACATGTTATTTTTTTGTCATAACATTTATATAGGACTTAGTGTAATTATTTCTTCCTTTTGGCTTGATATATCCCCTTTATGTATGTCTTTGCAGTGCTCCAACTGGAAGAAAAATAAGAGGTGGCCCAGGAGGACTAAACAAACTATGTGGTGTTTCTCCTTAACTACAAACCATCATAGGGCAACCGACTTTACCAATGACTAAGGTTTGGCCACCTATTTTCTTTTCTTCATTATTATTCCCAGTTCAGATGCTTAAGTCCAACCCAAGATGGTGCCATTACAGATCGTGAAGCAGTTGTGGGCTTACATAAGGAAAAACAACCTTCAAGATCCAAATAACAAAAGAAAGATTATTTGCAACAAGGAGCTGCGATTGGTTTTCGAAACTAATTGTACTGACACGTTCAAGATGAATAAATTGCTAGCTAAACTTATAATCCCTCTCGAGCCTACAAGTATGACTGTTATAAGAAAACTATTTTCGTTTTCCATTATGATGGTGTTCGTGCTTATGGTAGATTTTGAAATCTTGTAGAACAGACTGTTCAAAATTCTAAGAAACCTAAAGTCGATGTCGAATCTGGGAGCCAAAATGATGACCCCATCCCAATTGTGATAATATCTGAAGCCCTTGCGAATTTCTTTGGAAGCGACGAACGGGAAATGTCACAAGCGGAGGTATTAAGGCAGCTCTGGAAATACATAAAGTTTCACCAGTTCGAGGTCTGTAAACAAGTTTCCATTTAGGCTTCATTTTCTTTTCCTAAAAAATTATTTTTCGAAGTCAAGCTTAGTTTTAACCACGTATTTTATAGGACCTACAAATACTACATACTTACCAATACTATTTTCTTGAAAAGTATTTAGCAAAATAAAATGGAACACCTAAACAAAATTTATTGACTCGGGTACTACCATCGCCATCGACCAAAATAAAATTTATATCTTAATACTATTTGTTTAAATGTTTTGCTTCACCTCTTCCACCATAAACTAACACCTCCAAATCTTAAGTAACCATAAACACCGATAAATATGTTCCATCGCACCACCAACATCGCACCACCACAAACCACTACAAAAACCAATTGACACCTGCCATGCACCATCACAAAATCACTACCATCGCAATCATCCATATGTGGACCCACAAGGGGTCAAGTCACCCCAGGAAAAAATTGATTTTTGTTTTTTTTTTTTTCAAAAATTCTGTAGTTTCCCTTTATCCCATACGCGCACGTTTATATACTACAGTTTACCCTATTCTTCAATAAACAAAAAATCCTTATCCAATCTCAAATAAACCCTCCTCTAATCTCCAATTTCAATCTCTTCTTTAATCAGGTATGAATTTTTTATGTTTGAAATTAAAGGTTTTAATATTTATGTTTGATTCTTTTTCCTTTTTCACCCAAATCTGTTTCTCATAATTGGGATTTGTGTTGTAATTATCGAGTTGTTCATGTTGCCTGGTGTTGAGTAAGTGTAAGTGAAGTATGTAATCTATAGTCTGTACCTCACTATTGTAAACGATCCCTGGGATGCCAGGCAAGGCTAGAAGAAGGCGCTCCAGCGCGAATTACCGATGCTTACCACCCTTGGAGTGTGTGAGTTCCGCTCAAGCATCCTTAAGACGCCAATAATATGCCCGATTCCGCTCTAGTGATATTTTGAGCGAGAAAATTCTAACTACCATCCTTTTAAAAAATATTTAATGGATTCAGAAAACAACTATAACTTATTTTCATTAATGTTATGTTATTTGAAAAAAAATGCATTTTAATTTTTTATCCCACAACACACAAAGTTTGACTCCGCCCGCTGCAATCATCTGCACCTCCCAAATCACAAAAACAAAAATCATAAACTAAATTTCAACGATTTCAAATTCGATTTTAGATATGAAATGAGATATACAACATGGTGGTGGCTCCGCATGGTTTCAACTCCGACACCTATTATTCATTGTGGTGTCGACTGGTGTTTTCCCTCGTTCATCTTGTTAGATTGAGAAGAATGGATATTCAATTTTTGAATAAATCCACAAAAAATTGATTTTCATTATAAGACTCTAAAAAATGAAGTATAAATATGAAGCGGTGGTGGTGATTTGATGTGTTATTTTATGTTTTTAGCGATACTTGATTTTCAAAAATATTTTACAAAATACTTGAAATTTAACTTTTTTGGATCAAATACATAAGGAAGAAATCAAAGAAGGGAAGTACTTTTTTTTTTTTTTTATCATTGAGTTAGTAATCAATATCTAATGAATTCAAGAGTTCCGGTATAAATGAAAAAAAAAAGGGAATGATATGACAATGAAATCCTAATCTTAAAACAAAGGGAAGGGGATATGACGGAATTAGTAGATGCCACAGACTTAATTAGATTGAGTCTTGGTATGAAAACCTACTAAGTAGTAACTTTCAAATTCAGAGAAACCCCAAAAATAATAAAAGGGGCAATCTTGAGCCAAATCCCCTTTTTCCAAAACAAAGGTTCTGAGAGAAAAAAAATGATAGGTGTGGAAACTTAATGAAAGTTGTTCTAACAAATGGAGTGGACTGCGTTGGTATATAAATCTTTCCACCGAAACTTGAGAAATGATGAATGTTTAACAACAATAGGTTTGTGCTTAATTTCCACGTACTTTTAACCAAAAAAACAAAAAGAAAGAAAGAAGGAAAACATTGATTTTAGCCCCTTTGGTCCTTATCCAACATCGAAACTCGCCAGAGTACGAGACCTAAATTTAGATTTTTAGCCTCATGTATAAATAAATAAATAAATACATATTTTGAATTTTTGAATTTTTATCTTGGTTTAAAATTGGTATTTGGACTAGTTGAATTTGACATGAAACACATTCCTAATCAAAGTCTAAGTAAAACAAACTGCGACATGTTGCCTTAGCAATTTAATAGATTCTATTTTTACGACTAAAATGTTGGATTGCTCTCTTTCTCTTCATCATCTTTATTTTTATTTTCGAGAAAAAAGAAGATGTGTAGGCTTGACTTTCTATTCGTTAGGCATCGATGTCATGTATACTGCAAGTCTTTCAAAATACACAGCATGTAGACAATGTCTACAAAATTCATATAGATTCTGATACCACGTTATGACATCTCCAATGCATTATATGAATTGCAATAGGTAGCATGAAAGTTGAAAGATTTTGTTGCATTGATATCCAATAAATAGATACTCGAGTTCCAACGTATTTTATGAATTTCTATCTAGGTGTCATTTATTATGAGTTCCAACGTATTTTATGAATTTCTATCTAGGTGTCATTTATTATTTTAAAATAAAAGCAAAATCATATTTAAAATTGCACATGATTTTTTTGCAAATAAAATACTCTCTCTGTCTCATAAATATATGTTTCTTTTTCTTTTTTCGTATGTTTCAAATTATAGGCCACTTTTATTGTTAATAGTATAATTACTTTT